TTCTGAAGTTATGTTCAAAACTATAAAGATTTAGAGGGAGGGTCTGTTACATATAGTATTTTTTTTAAATACAGCAAGTTACTTACATTAGTCACTCCTGATGTTTTATTTTCTTGTTTGTTAAATAATGCATTTTTTAAAACTTCAGACAAAATAAAAAACTACTGTACTTTTCTTATAAGATCAACTAATGGCAGCACCTCAGTCAATTAATCTTTAAACCTCATAAACATGATAAACTCTTTATTTTTGTATGGTTTTAATTTCAAGGTCTATATTCTCTTATTTTTCATTAAGAAAATCTGGTATTATCATAAGTCAAAAATAGAGTTTCTGATGGATGGTGTTGTATCTTTACAATGAAACTAAATATTATGACTTAAGACCTTTTAAAAACTGACTTGTGGGTCAAAATTTAAACGTGCTTCCAGTCAGCATGCATTTGTTAACTATCTACTTGTGCTGGGCTAGGTGCTAGGGATGTCACAATGGAGCATCTACTTCCAAATGAGGAAATAGTAGATACGGTGGATGATAATAATATTACTACAGATTAACTTTGATTCACCATTTAGAGAATGGAAAATAGGAAAGGAACAAGAAACTGCTCATTGTTTGTAACTCTGTATTCATAGACTTATCATACACATACATTTGATGCGTGTAGGAGGTTATTGAATTACTGAATAACATTTATTTATTGAGGGCTTTCAATGTGGCAGATAATGTTGTAGAGACTAGAGTACAGCTATTAACAAAACACATAAAAATCCCTGTTCTCATTAAAGAAAAAGATGAATCTAGGTATGAGTGGATCAAGAATAGTGTCAGAGTACAGAAAAAGTTATTCTTTGACTTCCCCTTCCCCTTTTTTTCCATAAAGGTTCATTCAATATATGTAGAAGGAAGTAAAAAAGGAATAAAAGGACACCTCATAAGGGAACCAGAGCTACAAAATGGTGGCATGGATTTGGCCCAGAGATAGAATGAAGCAAACCTACTGGCTTTGCCTTTGAAAGAGAGAGTCTGAAGAGTGCTTCCCATAAGCTCTCTCCCCTGCTTTTAGTTAAGGCTATTATTTACCCAACAAGCACAGAACTTCTGCCTATTTGATTGACTGCTTTCAGGGATGGTCTTCATGGCAGGGTTATCTGCTGGGTGTGAAGCTGCTGCATCACTTCACCCACTCAGCTGTCCAGATTTTCACAGAACCCAGGAGGAAGTACTAAAGTCATCCTGAGGAGCAACAGAGTGCAATGGTTAAGACTGTTTAGAATCCAACTCCTTGGATTTATATGCAGGTTACTTACAAGTTGTGTGATCTAAGACAAACTACTTAGACTCTGCCTCCATTTTCTCCTCTGTAATCTGAGAATAAGGCCAATGTCATACGGTAGTTATGACAGTTAATAAATAAGAATGCATGTGTGAGTGTCCAAACTTTTTAGAACTGATTTTCAGTAAGTCATTATTATCTGTTCCAAGTCAAAAATAATAAAAAAATTAAACAAATTTAATCAAATTTAGTAAACTCCACCCAATCTAGAATTTAAAAAAATACCACTGGCTTAAAAACCTAGGTTTTTAAGGGAGGAGTTTGATTAAATTCAAGTGCTATTGCTTTTAGGTAGGTTCGTTCCACTTCAAATTATATACCTTGGGTAGGTGACATTGCCATATCACCCTTCCCAACTTTGCTTCCATAGCTGCTTCTGATTCCACTAGGCTCAAGACTTCTGTGAGTCTGCTGCTAAGGGAAAGGGGAGGGGTAGTCTATTTTAATTGGCTTGTTGTCAATCCTTGGAGTATTGGCTTTCTGAGACAGCCAAACCCTACTGGCTCCATTTTTATACATATATTTAATGGTCTCAAAGTCTCTAGCAACTGGTGCTCTAGAGAGTGCAATAGCCTCTCCCACCTCATGGAATACTTTTTCTTTATTTGGCTTCCGTGGGGCTGAAGTCACACATGGTTACCTTCTGTTCCTTCCTGAGACCACATCAATCCTGGCCAATGCCTATTCAGGCTACTAGGAAGTGAGAGACAAGAACTAAGGGCAGAGAACTTTTGCCCTCCTAAGAAGGCATATTTTTTTTCCATTGTGTGTTGCTGGCTCCAAAAAGTGAATGTGTAGGTTGTGTTGATCTGCAAACTCCAGTTGAGAGAAGTCAAGGCCAGTCTTGATGTTGATAAGGTCCCTAGAACTTCAAAGGAGCCATGTCTAATATCACCTCATTTACTATTTCCCTGCATCAGAGATAAAGAAAAAGGAAGTGGGCAACACAGGATTCTGTCATCTACTGTCCCAAATCGTAATTTTTTCTCTTTTCCAGGTTCTTTTTCTTTTCTTTTCAATAGTCTAATTCTGTCTTCTTTGATCCCTGATGCAGACTGGGCGTCTGCCCTGTGCCAGCACTCCCTTTGTACTGGAATTTTGGTGGATTCTTTGCTCTCAGCTCAATATTAGTAGTCCAGATAACTCTCTTGTTCTTGGTTGAGGGATAAGGGTGGCCAGCTCTGACCAAGTAATCTGGAAAAAGACTTTTTCTTGGTATTTTCCATGGGCATATTGCCATCTTAAATCACCAAACACTCTGAACTTGGTAAGCACAGAGTAACTGCAAGCAGTTGTTAGCCATTATACTGAAAATATAAAACCTAAGGCTCTCACCTTAGAGGCCCATAATTTCTCAATTATTAGGGATATTAAGTCTCTCATTAGAGTTTCTAAAAGATGTTAAGTTTACATAGCAATTCATGTAAACATTACAGAGAGTAATACCAATAGCATTGTTAAATTTAGCCAATAAAAAGGCAAGGGTCCCAGTTAAAATTAAATTCAGATAGCAGATATTGTTAGTGTATCAATATGTCTTTTTCACATAAGTATTATATGTTTTTTAGTATGTTTCAAATATTGCATGGGTGTCCTGCATTTTATCTGATGATCCTATGTGCCAAGAACCTGCTCTCCTCCTCTGATAGTTTGAAATAGATTCCTTTACTCCAAATGTAAAAGCTGCTTTCAAAAAAAAAAAAAAAAA